TCTCTCTCTCTCTCTCTCTCTCTCTCTCTCTCTCTCTCTCTCTCTCTCTCTTCTCTCTAAGTGGTGAAACAAATGTTTCTCTCTAAGGTGTGAAACAAAGTGTTCAAAACAAATATTTAAGGCTTCGTTTTTAAATAAGTATACGTATATGTCCTTTTCTTTTTCTCGCTATTTTCTTCGAAAAATCTTGAGAAATAGAATACAAAATATATCTGATTTGCTAAAGAAAAGTTTTGTTAAAGAAAAATATATAAAAATTAATTTAATATATTCAAGTTATAATTTAATAGTTTAAGGAAATCTTAAAAGGGATTTAATATTTTATATCACGGAACTTTTCCGAACATACTACTTAAGGAGTTAATGGTCTTCGCGTTATAGACGATTAAAGGCCATTAGCGAGACAAAGTTTACGAGCTGACCGCGAAAATAAGCAAGAAACTTTTATTCCTCCACCTTTGGTCTTGAAAAAAATCATCTCTATCCAAGTCGGCGAGATGATTTCAGTCACGGAAACACATACACGCACACATACACACATATATACAATATTTTCGCGCGACAGAAAATACGCTTTTCATCCAAATGCGTCCCTAATTTTCTTTCCCCTCGCGCGTCACCTGTATTCTATTTATTCACGCGCGTGCGCACGGATGCAACGGGGCCACGTGTCCTCCGGGAATTCGGGTGCGCCGCGATGTCTCTTAAAAAATTCACCGCATATATCATCGGTGGATTGTCGCGGCTTTGCAAGGCGTAGGTGGATGCGCATAAATATTCATCGGCTTTCCCTGGTCTGATTGCGTCGCGTCGCGTCGCGCTGCGCCACGCCGCGCCGTCGATGCCTGCCGACTGCACACTGTTGCAATTTTATGCACCGCATCCGAGCTACGGTAGCGTTTGATGGGGAAACTTTGTACCCACGGTGTGACTTCGGAGACGTTACAGGTGTCTTATTTTCGACGATTTACGAGGCGCTCCTTCGAGTTTTCGATACCTCCTTGCAAGTACACGAGTGTACACGAGCCGGAATTCGACTTGTTCAAATGCGAGCTCTACCTCGTACGCGCGACTTCGATTCTTATTTCATCGGTATGAGTGTATCGACAACTTCGTTGCAATTGAGATGCCGTTCATTTTTCGAAAGAGACGCAAGAAATTCTACTTACCTCGTGTACGAAATATGCGAGACTCGGTTAACAGGGTCAGAAGAACTCCTCAGCGACGCTTCGAAGACACTGAACGGCTAAAGAAAATTAATCGGGCGCCATCGTTATTTTGCGAGGACGGTCTGCAAGTGAGAGAACTTCATGAGCCGAAGTCGGAGATCCTTAAATATCCCCGGCGAGAAAAGTTCGAGCGCATCGGGGTCATGGCTATCGATCTTCGCGGGCCATCTTCTTGCAGCTGTCGCCGTTAGCTCCAAATTATAAGCGTCTCTGAACGGAGATAGACGAAAAGGGAAGAGCTGCGTTGTAATTCAATTTAAATCTCTGTGTTATCGCAATAAACACACACTGTGACTCTGAAAAGAACAAAACGATAAAAACGATAAGATTGGAAATGTAAACGGCAGGGATTTCTGTATTATACGGCAATCGTACCGCATTTCAACGATATGTAACTTACTTATAACTTGCGTTATATCGGGATAAAAATGTTCAATGCGATCGCTATTGATCGGCAAAGTAATTGTCGTCGCGGGGCAGGCCGGGCGAGAATGAATCGAAGAGGAGTCGTGTGGGTAATTTATTTACAAGAGTAAAACATTATGTACAAGAATGCGCTTTCTCGCAAGAAAACCGTGTGAAAATAAGACGGTGAGAAGGGTGTGTGAAGTGAATAGGGGAGCGGGTGGGCGGAGGGGACGGGTAAGGGAACACAACGCAGTTTCGGGCTAGTCATCGTGGGTGTTAAATCATATGAGTTGTAAAGTCGCGTGGGTTTACATACATTTTTCCTACTGTTATGCGTGTGTACGTGTTGTCTTTCTGTTGTGTTTTCTTTTAAGTTTCATTTAACACTTATGCACGTAAGTAGAAAGTACTTCCGCCGCGTCGCGGACCTCGGGGTCCGACCGTCGTTTTATTACATCGCTCCTCTCGCTTAAATTTATACTCGTGTGTGACACATTTATTTTACACTTAACACTTTCCTCACGGATCTCTCTCTCCCTCTCTCTCTCTTTGACTTCTTCTATGGTCGGGAAAAAGGGGACATGGTTCTGTTTTATCTCCTCGTACTCGCCTCACCCTTCTGGCGACACTCGCGCGTCTTTCTCTTTTTTTTGTTTCTTCGTGTCAACGATCGATGTGCGTCGTCGTTAATTCTTACGTTTTTATGCATCACTGTTAGACGTCATTCGTCAGACGTCACGGGGCAATATTATTCGAAAGTTTCAGCGGCGATCTCGGCAGCGCTCGATCCCACTTTTTGCGCGAAAGCGTAGGAACCGTCCCGAATAAGAGATTACGAATGGAGCGAGCGAGTCTGATCCCGTGTCGTCGCTGAAATTCTCGAATAACACGTTCCCTGCCGCGTCTCTGCGGATATGATAAGAATTTTCGACTGTTTTTCACTGTTGGTCGTCATCGCGAATCGTTATCCAACGCTCACGACATAAAATCGTACCAAGGCTAAGTCGCGAACTAATTTTTTAGCTGAATCAAACAATCGGCGTGCCCCTCGCATCTTAGCGCTAATCAAGTGTCTGCGAACGCGGAACATTTATTCTTACTTTACGTCATTACTTATGCGTGAATATAAAGCGCAAAAAAGCTTACCTTGCGAAAGTAACTATAGACTACGCCAATGGTTGCTCTCCCTTACGGTCCATACATTCAGATGTCCGGAAAAATCAGAACTAAACTGAGAAGAAAATAAAATTCTCAATTGGCGATCTCGCGTTTGCGATTCGTGTTATTCGGTTATTTTTTCCCTTTTTTCTTTTTGATCGGAGTAACAAGATACAGATTATATATAAAAGATAAAAATTGCAGATATTAAAAAAATATTAAAAATATTAAGAAATATTTTCGAAACACTCAAAATATGTGATATTAAAAGTCGATGCTCGGTGAAACAAACGCACCGTCAATTAGTAGACAAGACCTGCTTGTTATTTATAGGGGGAGGAGGGGGAAGGGAACAGTCGTTACGCGCGGCGTGATAATTATTAATTTCAGACGCAAATTGCTGTTGAAAATATTATTCGCGCAGGTGCCGCCAATTAACGGAAAACGCACGCGAAGTGAAAACGCTCTCGGATCGCTCGTTATCATTACGCGGCTATTTAACGTTTTAACGTACAGTTCAACTGTGAATAGCGGACGCTGCGTTACGACAGGTGTACGAAAAAACATTTCGGAGCTCCGAGCTCGTTTCGAGTTCTCGGTCGGGATAAGTCGACTCGCAAGCTCGTCGCAGGATCCATGGTTCTGAGGTCCTATGGCCGTGTACATACACACGGCCGCCTCGCATTCCGCTTAACCCTTAGGCACAAAGCTCTCCTTTTATTACGCAAGAACGAGCTGTCTCTCAGGGATTATCTTCGTATTTCTCATTTTAGCGGCCACGTTCACAATTAGATTTGAGGAGAAACGAGACGGCGACTTTCGCGGCAAAAAGAGTGCGACACGAACAACGTAATAGTGACCAGGTTTGTGAGCTTTCTAAATTGAAATTGTTACTTTGACGACTGAGAGACTGAAATGGAACTGAAAGAATTTCGGAATTCGTAGTCCACGCGCAGTCTCCATTACTTCGGATGATTTATTCAGGAAGAAGACGATAACACCAATAACCAATATAAGGTGAATTAATAATTTTACGAATTAAAACGACATTATCGCAATAATGATTTTGGAGTATCGACAATTTATCAGTAATGCGTCACCGAAAAAAATCGCGATTAACTGAAAAGAATAAAAAATTACCTGAAAGGGATAAAGTCCGCAGTTCAGAGCGTCAACTTTCGGGTCGCGGTAAACTTCGCCCTCAGATCTCATTAATTCCGCGTAATCTCCCGAGATAACTTAACTTTTCGGCCGCTACGATGAGACCGACTAGGATTCGAGCCAGGACGATCTGTGCGGAAGGGCTAACGCTTAAGCACGCAATCACGTCGCGATTTCGCGAGCGTGCGATTTCGTTTCGCCGAGTATCGGGCGACTCTCACGGCGTGTGCACGCACATTATCTCAGCTGACCCAGCAGGAAGGCGAGCATCAGCAGGACCGTCTTGGAATTCGGCGAGCCGGCTGCCGTGTTTCCGTGCTGCATCGCGGCCGGATGCTCACCTGAAAAGGAAACGAGCACTTGTGAGATACTCACTACCTCCCGTTGCTTTTCGCGGATCTCGACGGAATGCGGGTGAAGTGTGAGATGCAAGGAGACGGGTATGGTCAAGGGGTTGAGGGACTTTAAGCTATCTCCTCACAGCTGCAGCACGAACTATAATACGATTTTCTATTCATTCTAGTGGCAGAAAAGCTGGAAATTTGCATATTGTTTTCTCGTGCACGTAAAACATCACGGAGCTGCAAACTTCGTAGCGCGAAGTTGAACTTTATCAAAATCAGCTTCTCCCGCGGCCACTCTCCCGGCTAGCTGCCGGCGCATGCTTGTCTAGGTTCCGTATAAATTGCCCGAGAACCCACCGCGTCGGTGAATCGGAACGGGTATTTCGAGGGGAAATGGTCCCATATGTAGAATTCAGTGTAATTTTATATGCCCACGTCGGAGCTTCTACAGACGCGGATAACCGTAGAATCGAGGTCAACGCGATACAGCGACGATACAAACGTCGCCCAGGAAGTGGTGGTGTGTTTCTCGTGTATATCGGGACATTCGCACCCTCGATTGATTTCTTGGCGAACAGTTCTGGAACTGGAACGAGCGTTGCGACGGCGATTCGAGCCACGTATACTTGTCCCAAGGCGAGGGTGGTTCTTCGAAACCCGTCTTCCCCCCGTCCTCGCCCTCTTCTCTCATTAGCCCTCCGGTGACGTTACTTCTCGAACGTAAGATTAAGTCTGGCTCCGACGGTAATGTAATGCTAATCAAGCGAGAGTCTACATGAAGTTGCTTGTAAAAATTCAAAACTTACTAGATTTATTCATGCGCTCGTTCGTTGAAGAATTATATTTTCAAATCACATTTCTAACAAATTATGTTTAGGAAAAAATTACAAAAATATTTCTTCATGAATTCGAAAAAAACACGAAACTCTGAGGGCAATGCGCTCAGTGCACGCAGCAGCGCATAACCGATGCGTGATGCGAAAAATCAAATCAATCCGTGCCGGTGTTGTATTCCCTTTTCCCTCTCCCTCTTTTCCCCACCGTCATCCAGTGCACGCGCGATTACCGTCGATTTAATATTCGCCGTGCGAATTCACGAGCTGTTACGTGCATTTTTAAAACGATCGGCGGAGATTGCGCGGCCGCGCGTTTCTATTAACCGCGTTCATTTGTCTCCCGCCGCACGATCGGATTCGTTATTTAGTTTTATGCGAGCGCTCCAAATAACGATTGCATTTGCATGTTTCCCATCTACTATGTTCTCGCTCCTCCGACCGAGGACGCCTCGCCATTGATAATCGATCGATTATTTCGAGGACTAGAGTTTACGGTGGCGCGATTAGTCATAGCTACGATTGCATTTTAGCGCCAGCTATGCTGTTGGCGCAAAGCTCAACTCCTTTTTTGGGCAATCTATTATTCGAGTCGAAATTTAGAATCTACAATAGGTCTCGAAAGTGCTAACGTCGTCTCTTAATGCTCCCTGTGCATTAACTTTCTCCTCCGATACATTAACTTTCTTTATTGAGTTCGACTCTTCAAGTTCGACGCAATTTGTGAGGTCAATATAGAATCGAAATGTCGACTCGGGTAAAAGCTCTTAGCGAGTCCCCCTTCAAGTTTCCACGTGGGGAAAACGGCAATAAGTTACGATTTATAGCATGAATGGGAGCACAATAGTCTGTATACATAAACGTTATTATATAACATATATTATGTCTCGTGCAAGATTTTTTTATTGGCCCACAAATTCGATAATATTTGCAGTTAATCTTAATGTGAAATCGAGATTTCAACTACAATATATGGACAGTAAAGTGCAGTTATAAAAATCATTAGACTAAAACGAATTAAAACCATTTTAAAAATGATACGATTCTCTGGAGTAGTATTTTAAAAGAGCGCGTAAAGCGCGCGTATTTTAAAGCGAAAGAATCACGATGTATTAAGAGGAGATTTTTACCGACAGAAAACTGGAAAAAAAGATCAGAAAATAAATAATAAGATCAGGAAATGCAATTTCCTGCCGCATACCGGTGACTTTCGCAACTCTCCGTAGATACATCTTTGTGTCGCCCATCCGATTGAATGAGAACGCGGCAGGGACAGCGACGGCGAAGGGGCGTCCCAATATGATCGACGACGAGGGAATCGTCGAAAACGTTGCTGCCGTCGACATGGGACCGCGTAATTAACCGTGTAATTAATCGAGAATTGAAATTTGACGGGATTCGTCAGCGATTTCGCATCGCGCCAGAACAATGGAGAGTTATTAATACATCCACGTAACGTGCACGCGTACGACGGACCTTCCTCGCCGGGAGAACAGTGGCGGAGCCGTGGCGAACGGGACGAAGTATAATTAGCCGAATGTGCGAGCTAAATGAATTTTGCATCGCCGTTTAACGCGCGCCCGACGGAGAAAGCGACTCACGATTACTACACGCAGACAGATATGCACACGACCGTTGCCAACTCGTGAATGAATAATTCAACACGAATTTCAAAAGAACAACGAAAACGCCCGAATCGAATGTATTTTTGCGAAAAAGTTCTATTATTGCAGAAAGTACAATTTTTCCATTTTTAACGTATAATTTAACAGAATATACTATCGATACATGGGAAATATTACATAATAATATTAATACTAGTTGTAATTTTAATTATGAGAAAAAGGGAATATTTAGAAAAAAAGATTTCGCTCCTCTCCCTCCCTCTCTTCCGTAATAAATTTTCATCTAGGTTCTTTGAAGAATAGAACTGTTGCTCGCGTCCCTACTCTTTCCACCTTTCTCGCTTCTTCGTAGCAAGTCGTATAATTACATCTGCGTAAATGTGCGCGTGCACTCGGTTAGTGGTGGACGCGCGATTTTGCGAAATTAATGTTCCTCCAACGCGGACCCATGACGCGCGTGCAGGTCCTCCCGTGAAAGAAACAAAGTCGGCGGGTCGTACAAATCGCAGCCGCGGCGCGCGCTTTACCTTGCCTTCTTCTTCCTGTTATGCATATCTGAATATTTATCTTTCCGGAGTGGCCGGCGCGCGCATTCATCGAGCATGGAGAAGAGATGAATTCATGCACTTCGCCCGAGATAATTGCACTTCGGCCGAGGTCCGCAGCTCATTTGCACTGCCGGAAGAAATGCGCTTTTTTTCGATGATGAAAGACGGCACTTCATTCGTTATTTGTGCCGACTTCCGTTCGCCGTTTCCGCCGTGCGAAAGTCTCGACGGCAGGCTGCCGGAGCTTCTTAGAAAAGATTGCATCGTTGTCGTCGAACTTAGTGAAAGAGATGAGGACGACAACGCGATGCACTGCGAAGTCGCAATGATCGCGAATTACCTATGGAAATGTTTACGCAAGCTTTTACGATAATTAGTTAAAAATAAAGGAAAGAATGTGATTCTTTACGATCAATATGTTACTTGAGTGACGATTTGCATATATAGTCACGTGGTGAAGGTATCGATTGTAATTGCATGGACATAAAATCTCGATGCACCCTCAAAGCCACCGTCACGTTTCGTCTCCGAGGCATCGGGAAATACTTTTCCGGGTTACAGAAATAGATTCGGCGAATAGATAAGCGTGCTGTGAGATTCTCGGGCACGAAAGTCTGTACATAAAGATTAGAATCGTCCGTGACGCCGCGAAGATGTTTCCGAAGGCGACCTTATTCCCGACCGGATTTCCGGAAAGACCTGCGATGAGAGGGACAATTCTCCTTTTGTCACGTCTTATAGTTTCCAGTGGATTTCGAAAATTGGATCGCGAGCGTCGCATAGCGCTTCCCTTTGTCCTTATAATAGGACGATTTTAACGAAAGGCAGTCTCTCTCTGCTCCATCTGAACGTCGATCGAACTGAGTAAAGGCATACCGGCCGTTTTTTCTCTCTATTAATGATTTTCAATAAAATAAAGAAGATCCTGTCGAATTTTCCGGAACTTGCTGACGGAACAAATCTAATTAGATGCGCGCTTGAGTCAAAGGATTAATGATATTTGCGCGAATTAATAGGTTTTTTTTTAAACAGAGTATCTCATTAGAATGTTGTGGACCTTTGCAGATCAAAGAGATTATTATTTATGAGTACTCTCTAATTAGCAGCGAGAGCAGATCTTTTCATGGAAAGAACATGGTTCTTTTTAATGCCGGCGAGAGCGAAGCACTCGGCCGACAACGATGGGAACTAATGCTTCAGCTCGTTCGTAATGCTATATTCTGATTGTTCAGAGACGATGCATTATACTTTGCAATCCTGAGAAGACGTGAAAATTTAATGACGACAGTTATAATAATCAGCTTTCGTAGGGATTCTAATAACGATAACGTCTCTCGTTTATAACTTCTTTAATGTTAGTCGATATTCGATGCACGATGATTCCAATTATTGTACACAAGACATTAAATGCTGTTCCATTTTCTGGCATAGTGACATTTGAAATTTTCATGCAGGCGTATTATATTATAAATATGTGAAGAAGAATCGGTAATTCTTCGAATAATCCATAGTTATAATGCACGAATATTTATAATATAATGATAAACCGATATAATATATGATGAGTCTGACTGAAAATTTCAAATGTCACTGTGTTAAGGAATAAGATAGCATTAATGAAGCTTTACAAGAAATATTAATAGTACACAGATGTCTGACAATTATTAACATATCCCTTGTGTACAGGTAGAACTCATCAAACGTATCGTGAACACAAAATTCCTCTATTATTTCGCAAACATCCATGTAAAGATTTGAGTAATTAATTAAAGAAGATTGGTGAGTGATCACGCGCGACACGGTCGATCAGCTGCGATGGCGACGTCTACAGTCGTATGCTTGTATGTTATGTCAATCCAAATAAAAATCGCTTAAAAAATCCGGCTATTCTTAAAGAACTTTCCTTCAGAAATCTTAAAAGTTTTTGAACAACTGAAAACATATGTGGCAGAATATTGCGGTTAATTTTCCGTCTTCTTCCTGTTCGCGGT